CTATTGTTCTGGAGTTCATATGCTTAAGTACAGTTATGTTACCATTTTTTGGAAATCTTTCTGATGGGATTCTGTTACAAAATTGGTTTTGGTCTAATTTCTCATACATATATATAAATACAATGTTTTGTTCAATTTTGTATAAATAAAAGATTGTGATATACTACAGTAAATTAGCCCTAGAATTTGAGTAGTTGTTGACTCCAAAAGCCAACTTTTAACAATAATTGGAGCATCCATTCACATTCTTGGTCTTTAAATTATTAAATTTTTATGATATTGTGTGATCTAAGTAAATTAATGACATATTCTATGCATATTTTGATTATTTTTCCAAGAAAAATAATGGTAAATGTACAATGAATAGCTTGAAAACTGACAAAAATATCAATTTTGTAGCTTGTTCTTTAAGTTTCTTTCCTGCTATTTGTTCTAATTATATTAAAAAATTCTTTAAAAAAATTAAATTTTTTGTGTAAAATTTTGTATCTGCATCAACTTTCTCGATATTTGGTTTCAAGCTATTCAATGTATTTTAAATTATGAATGCATTAATACAGCATAATCTTTTACAAGCAAGGCTAGGAATGTTTATAGTTTGTTTGAATTCTATCAATTATAAAAGAATTTACATAAATTATTGATCTTGTTGATTGATTTCTTATCTTTTTTTATGTATAATCTCTTTTCAATCTAATGTAGATTTTAATTTAGAAATTGAAGAAATAAATTTATTCATCTAAATATATTTGGTTATACATCTTTGTTGTTAATTACAACAAATATTATGAATGCAATGTAACATATCTAAGGAAGAGTTGACATTTAGCATGTTGCTTGTCCAGCTGTATTAAAGCCACTTTGCCAGGCAATCTGTCTAATAATGAGGATTATAAATTTTCAATTACTTGTATCATGTGGCAAAATGGATTTTTCTGTACTTTACATTTCATTGCAGTTCTGTTTGACTCTTTTTGTTGCTTGTGCAATGTCCATTTGATAGTCAGATCTACATTGCAGGATTTCACACCATTTGGTTTCTTCCTTTGGTACACAATAAATTGTGTACACCCTGTCTTTTAACTAATGTCTATTAATCATTACCATCAAATGGTCATTGACTTCTTGACAGTTGATTTCAAACTTAGAATAATACATGCATGAACTTACGTACAATACCTTTTAGTATTAATTAACTAAAAAGAAAGAAATTATGAAAAATCATCATCAGGTAGCATTGTATTCATTATATAAATATATAGAAAAGCTTTCTGAATATTTGCATATTGAATGAATATTATGTGAATGTGTATTGTTGCTCATTTAATACTTCCTTGAAATGCATTAAAACAGAAAAGGATCTCTGAATTGCTGCTCCATATGACAAACTATATGAACAGCATCACCTCGATGGTTCAGACGAGGTAACTACCTGGAGACAAAATGAGAGGGACAGCAAAACAAGCAGTCAAAAATGTTCAAAAGGAGAAGACATAATTAATAAAAATAATAAACTATAGAATGCTAGAGCTATAAGTGCTCTCTATTGGAAACTATTCCAGAAATGGGTGGCAAAAATTTGTACCTTTGAGCTGGCACTGTATACATACATCTGTTCACTTTCAGTAAAACTATGGAATGTATTTACTCTTTCTCAGATACTTATTGATAGCTGTTTTGATATCCTATGTTTTAAAGATGAAGAGCAAAGGACTATAAATATATAAATGGAAAGTTTAACCAATACATCATCAAACCAAATATTTTAACACTTAAAGTATCAGCAATTGATATAATGTAGTATATATAAATATATATATATATATATACTAGATTACATCAAAGTTATCTTTGTAATAGAAGTGTAGTATGTATAAATATACTACACTTCTACTACAAAGATAACTTTGTTCATTTCATTATAACTTCAGATAATAACAAGTCTTTACATTGTTTATGTATGGCATGCAAACATACAGACTGGTTTGACTTGCTCACCACATAAGAAGTATTTTACTTGAATATATATAATCAAAAAATATTTAGATGAATAAATTTATTTCTTTAATTTATAAATTCACTTCTGTCAATGAAGTCTAAAAATGAAACGACAAAATAAATGCAGAGTTTATATTTTATTGACTTGAACATAAGAATATAAAGCCTATTGGAGGCAAGTAACAAATGAGAAAAGTTGTTCAGAATTTCAGTGATGATAAATGTATATGTAGGGTAGCCCAAAACTCAATTGACCATGATACATATAAATAATTTTTTTATGGTTACTGACATTTGGGCCATCCTATATGTAACAGACAAGTAAGTAATTTATTAATTACAAATGCTAAACTTCCATTCTGTCATGAAATAGTTCATTTTCTTTAAATTTTTGTTGAAGTTTTGGAGATCTCTAAATAATTATAACTACTAAACAATGTTTTTTCTGTTCTGAATATTTCATAAATTCACTTGATATAACTTTTAACAATTTTCATTGGTCCTGCTTTATTTATATTGTAGATTTTTGAAGCAAACTTATGATGTTGCTAATTACGGTATTATAGTTTGAATGTATGTTAAGCCATCTCCACACATTTGGTATTCACTGAATGCTGAGCAAACATTTGGTCAGTATCGAGTAGTGTAGATGATTTACCTTTGACTGATATTCAATATTTGCCATTTCCCCACGCCTTGTCGGTATATTATGCCAAGTCAAAGAGGATGATAAATTTGCAATTATTCGGCAATTGGTTAATCCAGAATATGTGGAGCTAACTTTATGTGAAGGGTGCATAAAATGGTTAATTCTCTTACCAATAATGTAAAATTTTAGAAGTTCATTAATGAATTCTGAACAGTTCATTTCTTATTTTTTACTTGAATGTAACAGGCTTTATAGTATCTTATAAACAATTCTTACCAGATTTGCTAATTTTAATGATAATTTTAGGGGAAAAAAAGCAGAAAAATGTGTTGTAATCAGTTTATTTACTGCACTTACTGTATAAAACATTACTTTTTATATTCTCAGAAAGAAGAAAATTAATTACCAGTGTACTGTATCTGCACTAATGTATTATGCACCATATTACGCTACTACTGATGTAATCAATGTATTGAGAACTGTATGGTTGAATGCTTTGGATAACTGAAAGAAACACTCTGAGCTGTTATATGTGGGAATTTTTATATATATATATACATATTTTTTCAATTAAACATATCAAATTTATAAAAATTCCTTCTGTGTTGGTGGTGTTGTAAAGGGAATGGAGTATATATGAACAGAAATTGACTAGGTAAATGCTCTTTTAAGTAACGTCTGATGAGCAATAGTTTGTTCCTACAGAAACAAAAGTTACATCTACATAAAAACACGAAAATAATTGATAAATATAATTTATCAATTAAAATCACATCATTAATAATATATATAAANCATTAATCAGTATCATACATGCTTTTCTAATACAATATGCCATATTTAAAACATAATTTTTGTATAAGTAATAGATATGTATTATATCAATGGTGCAGTTTTTTTATATATTCTTTTGAATGTCAATTTTTTTAAAAAATTATTTCTTCAAAAAAATTGATGAAACATCATAGGTTAGATCCAAAGAAGTTAACCGATGTTTTTTTGTCTAGACCGCATTTTATCAGAGACAAAAACTTCTGAGTGTCATCTTCATTATTCTTTATTCACTACGCAATATCTTCATTATTTCACTAAGAATATCTTCATTATTCTTTATTTCGGGTGCAATATTTTGTGTATCTTGTACCCGTCATCAGGTGTTATATTTCTGATTTTTTGTGTTTAGATATACAGCTACATGGTGTTGATGTTGTATCTCCTATGTCTAAACACACAAAAAAAAAAAAAAAAAAAAAAAAAAAAAAAAAACAGAAATATAACACCTGATGAGGGGTGCAAGATACACAAAATATTGCACCCGAAATGCATAGTGAATAAAGAATAACGAAGATAACACTCAGAAGTTTTTGTCTCTGATAAAATGTGGTCCAGACGAAAAAAACGCCGGTTAACTTCTTTGGATTTAACCTATGATGTTTCATCAATTTTTTTGAAGAAATAATTTTAAAAAAAATTGACATTCAAAAGAATAATTTTTGTACTTAAATTTATATAAGAATAAGAATACAAAAAGTTAATATGTGTCAGTTAGTTTACTATGGCTGGTAACACAATCCATTAAAGCCATTGTACAGTGATTGGCAGGGGTAAATACTAACCAGAATTTTTAAGCATGCTGAAAGTTATAATAAGAATAATAGGCCTATCTCTAGCACTGAACAATAGGAAGAAATGTTATTTGGTGTGAATAAAAAAGTATGGACTATTATAAAGCCCATTATATCTACACATGAAATATATTATAATGAAAATGTATTAAAAATTTATGATGATAATTCAATTTTTGTGTGCCCTTGACACTGGATGCCCAGGGCTTAAGCCCTATTAGTTCCTATGTAGATCCGCCCTGTACACAATACATGTATGCTGACTGGGTACTGCAAGCTTTCGATACAATCTGGCCGTGTTAAATGCTTTGAATGACATTGTGCGAATGCACTTGTTTGCTGTGACAAACCTCCACATGAGCAAGTGATCAAATTCCCACAAGCATCGCACTGACTTAAAACGGCTATCTTCTAGCTGCCAGTGTAAAAGGAAACACAAATGATAAAAGAGTTTACATGTTAGAATAAATTATTATTGACATATTTATTCTCATGTAAAAAGTATATTAACAGTCAAAATTTTCTCTTAAGCATGGTGGCACATGCTAAGCAAACTCAGAGAATTAGCTACTGGTGATTGGTAAAATTCTTGAGATTATAATAGAATGGGATTTACCTCATCACATTCTCACTATTCATATGTTACAAATAACTTCTCATTGCATGTTTTTGTAAGTAAGTTATAGATTATCTTATTTATATCTAAGATCTGNTATATATTTTGTATATATCTTTTATTATTATTATTTTTCCTCATTTAATTGGTCGAAATTATATATAAAATACAACCTAATTATTTTGTATATGCTTGATACATACATCCATCGTTGTACATGAATGGATAGAGGTGAGAAACATGCTGAGGATCTGCGACTGTACCGGGACCCATAAATTCTTTATATGTTGGTATGGTACCCGCTGTCGAATAATGAGGCGAAGTCCATGATGTCGAATTGTAAGGATAAAATGGCGGAGTTATGAATGATGGAAGTTGAGGATTGTATTCCGACACGCATACAGTTTTAGCCGTTCCTCGTAGTTTATACGTTAGCGGCGAGTGTACGTCACTTGTAGACCCATAGGGTAGTTTTAAGTTGTTAGAATATATAGAAGCACAGTTATCTGTAGCAAATGAATCATTTAATTTGTATCTATTGTATTTTATGTCAGAAGACAGTTTTAGATTGTCTAAACAGGGACGAACTGTTGATAAAACTGATGGAGCACAAACAGGTGGTGACATAAAAGAGTTTTGATATACTGGAGTTTCCATTGTTGGTGGTGGCGGAGGTGTTATATCTTCTATTCCTTTCAATAAATCCGTATTTTTTACGTTAGAATTTAAAAAATTATTCTTCTTTATTGATAAATCCAGGCATTCGCTTTCTGTTGTCTTATCCGATGTTGCTCGACTTGTTGGAAGCGTATTTTCTTCACTTTTTATTAAAGGTTTCTTCTTCTTTATGCTCAAATCTAATACTTCGTTCTCACAGTTTTGTGACTGATTAAAATGAAACAGTGATGAAGATGAAGAATTCTTATAATTTAAGTGAGATGATGATGACGACGGTGGTAACATTGCAGATGATGTGGATATAGGAGGAGAAAATCTGGTTTTTAAACGTTTTGGTTGATCATAAAATGGTCCAGAAAATTTACAGTTAGTAGATTTCATTTGGTATTCGAGATTTTTAGGCAGTGATTGATAATAATTATCTGTGCGTAAAGAGGATTGTATTGGAGTTTTCATCTTGTACGGAGTTTCTGAAACTCTTGTTAGTGAATGATGATTATTGGGATTTGCTATCGAATTATACAACCTTTTAGTCATCATTTTTGATCCATTAGAAATATTATCAATGTACATGGGTTTCTGATGGGGAAATCTATTTGCTTCCATATATGTACTCATGCAGCACCGTGAATCTGTAGGTCCTACTTTGGGGATAATTAACTCTACATTTCTGCAGCAACTTGTCCTATCTGCTGTTCTATATAGTTTTTCACTATTACATTGAGGGAAAGAATTACAAAGATTACAGGTTTTATGTGGGGGTGGAGACGGTTGAATATGTTCAGTGTGTTGAATGACAGATGGACGTCTCTGCATTAATTTAGCATCCCTACCGACTTCTTTATTGTTTCTGTGCGTTATATCATCTATGGTTCTTCCAATTACAAAATCCGATGATAATGTTTTCAACGAAAAGTTTAAAGATGCCATACTATTTGTTACAGTTCTGTTACTTCTGCTGTTAGCCATTGTAGTAAGACAAGTAGTTTGGTTTTTACGATACAGTAATGGTGACATAATGCTAACATACGACTGGTGTTTCGCTTCTTTCCTGATCTCCGCTTTTGATTCTGTTTTTATGTCACTCACGCAACACCTGGGACTCGAAGATGTCGGAAAACTGGTGGAACCATGTTTGTTGTTCTTATTATATATCTTACTAGGCAGATTTAAAGAATTTGTAGGTGTAACAGGATTATTAACATTAGAAGTGGTACTAATGGCATAATGACCATCTCTAACTGGAAGACGACCTGTTCTGTTAACACTAGGACTTTTCTGAACTCTTTCATGACTTGCAAAATTAGATAATTGAGAATCATTGGTGGTGGTGGTGGTGTTGTTGTTGTTGTTTAATCTAGAAATCTCCTTAACATTATTTTTAGAAACATAAGAAGTGCTTGTGGGTACGGTCCCTTTTAAAGTCATTGGAGTGGATTTCAAGTGAGATTTTGAATCTAAAACCGTAGTTTTAGATAGCTGAACAGATGGTGATGAGATCGGTATTGGTGGTTTATTTTCTTGGCCATGATGTGAATGATATTTTGAAAGTAAGCTGTGTTTAGAAGTACTTGAAACCTACAAATTTAAATATAAAAATGTTAATTGTTATAAAATTATAATTTAAAAACATCATGATTTGATTAAATTCTTTTGCATTTATGAATAGCAAAGTGTCAACACTAAACTTTACGGACTGTAGTATGTTTAGTTAAACATGACATTAAACCTCATTATTGAAAATTTTCTAAAAGATTGATGTTGGATTCAATTATTTTACCAAAATGAAATAAATAAGTTATGTATTATATATAGAATGGCCATAAAGTTCCTCCATTTTGCATGCACATTTTTCCCCCCACCTGTTCTTTTATATTACAGTTGAAAGTCACAATATTCTTACAAAATTTAATAAGGCAGAGTTGAGGAATTTTCTCTGTCATAATTCAGTAAAGCAAGCTGATACATGTTAAATCTCTACCTTGATAAAAATATCAGGTGGGATTCATTTTAAACTGGTCAGCAAAATGTTTTTAACTGGTTATTTGGCAGCCCCAGGGCACAATATCATGAACAGGAACTTTGTGATCATTCTGTTTGTAAGCCAAATAAAAATAATCAATTATTATTTGATGAATTTAACAGCAGTTGTACAGGATGTGGAGAAATTCTATGTTCATCATGTCCACTAAATTTCTCACTGATTTCAGATATGTGAAAACATGTCTGATGATATGGAGTCATAGGCCTCAATAATGAAGAGGAGAATTATTGAAGCTTGTGACTTTATATCACCAGACATATTATGTATCTGACATCAGTGGGAAGGTCTTCATATGTGTATAGCATATAACAATGGACATATTGAATGTATTAAAAAGTTACATATGTATACAAGGAATGGCAAAATTAAATTATCATTACATTCTTGATCAAGAGTATATAATTTGAATAATTTCAGCTGTGCAGGAAAGTGTACAGAGTCATCTAAATAGAAGCTTTATAAAATTACATTCAATCAGTGTAATTAAGATAATTATAATAATTAATATTTTCTCAGCTGTTGTATTGATTAATCAATTATGTATATAATTTAGATCTGTTATATATTTAATTAACTTGTGAATGAAAATTTGTGATGAAGGTGGAATTGGAATTTGATGATAAAAATAACTACATAAAGTGCAACAAACTGTTTAATTGAAACATAGAAAAGTGAAAAAGAGTACAAACACTTCCAGCTCATTAGCCATCTTCAGGCTTTTCATAAAAGAATAGTTATATCAAACAGCAGGGCCATCAAGAACTTGTATGGACCTTATGCCATTTGTTTTCTTGAACAAATGAAATAGAATACATCTCTATTAGTATAAAAGCAGTCTTAATGCTGTTTTTACTAATAGAAAGTTTAATTTATAGGGGTAGAATCATTATAGCTCGCAGAAAATTCCCCAAGCTCTGCTGTTTGATTCAACTATTCTTTGATGTAATGCCTGAGAATGTTTATTTAATTGAAACAGAAAAGTAAAAAGAATACAGTTTGATGCACTTTATGTAAGATATAGTCAATATCAAAAAGTTCTGATTTTGATCTGGAAAGATAAAATGAAGTCAAGATTGAAAAATTTATAGTTAGCATACTCAAAAGAAACAAACTGAACAGACATACAGTAGAATCTCATTTTAATGGATCACTCAAGTTACTGAAAATAATCTGTTATATTGTGAACAACAGATTTCCCACCCACTCAAGGAAAATATCTGTTATTTAACCCCCTATATATAAGAAATACTTGAAATTATTCATTCTCTTGATATCTTTATTCTATAGAAACAAGCATACATGGCAGGACACAGAGGACATGTTTCTAGTGTTAGAACATTGTCTCACTAGTGTATACTCCTCCATCAATTTTTCTTAGGAGAAAGAAATTTGGGGAAAAATCTTGTTTCTAGATCTAGATAACTTCAGGTCACAGGAGGGCTTAGTTTTCTTTGTATTTCACAAATTCAGCAGTATTCCCCCTGTAATCCCTGCCACAGTGTTCCAACCTCTGCAATATGTCAATGTGGCCATAGCTCCACTTATTAGAAGGGCATTCCTAATACTTTCTACTCAAGCTATCACCAATATTGAGCTTGATGCCATCTGGTCAGCAGTATGTGCGTCAGGCTACAGTATTGTCAAATACAACCACATCCTAAACAGGGTCAAGAGGTTGCTCTTCCCCACTACCAGCTTGCAGAACTCAAGGGAATGGACTTTAGTCCAGCCTTCTTTACTGTATTGTGGTTGTCTGTCAGCCCGTATATCTCGTATCTTCAGACAAAACTCCTTGCATTTACCCATCTCACCTCACCCAACTTTACGGAGACTTTTATGCAATGATAGGGATGCACTTTTGCATTGGAAAAGTCAGGTGTATATTCAATTCTGTTAGAAAATACAACAACCTGGACACACATCTGCTACATAGGGGGCTACCACCAGAATGCTTTCCTCTTGATTAGTGGAACACCAGCATTCTGTGGCAGTGGAAAGGTGTGACACCGAATTGTCCAAAATGGTCATACAGCATAGCCACACCCCACATTGGGACTGCTCTGTGTTACTTAAGGAGCTGTGGTGCAAGGGGCCTTCTGTTTATTTGGGAGTCTCTCCTCATCACCCTATTGGTCCTGTGCAACTCCCCCACCCTTGAGTTGTCTGATATTTGGGTTAATTTATATAAATGTATAAATAATAATAATTGACCGCTTGTTTCCACTTCCACATCTCAAAAGTTTTGTTCAGAAAAAGTGTTCTATTTATGTTTCCTTATGATGATATTTATATCAGTATCAAAAGTGCTAGCAAAGGAATTAAAAAAGTCCTTTAACACCATTTTCTGTTCATTTATCCTCTTTCCTTTCTGCCTATTGAATGAAACAACCACTTGATATTAGCAATGTCCAGGACAGTACAGCCTATTCATTTATGCTGAAACTCATCAGGAGGATCTTCACAACTTTCCAAGTTGTGAAGATCCTCCTGATCAAGTCTCAGTCTTTCCAAATTGGAAAGACTCCATGACCTTGCTAAGTTTCAATGATACACTTGGATTGAGTCAAAATGTTCACCAGGTTGGTCCTTAATCAAATCAGCCTGATGACTTGCTATGTACAATTCTTCAATTGTACAGTACATAAGATAGATGATGCACTTGTTACATCTGGGATATCTCTATAAATTTCTGGAAACTAAATATTGAAAAAATGTGAAGTTTGCAATAGGTAGGGCAGAAAAAAATTCGTTATTACAAGTTATAGATCCACTAAAAGGACGTAAAATTAAAACAACACTAATTCAACACCAGAGTGTAGTAAATTAATAATATCTTCAAACCTGTTACTGGTGTGTTCTCCACTGAGGTAAAATTAATACATTATTTTGAATAATCCGTTCCTCAAGTTGTTAAGATGAGATTCTACTGTAATTAAAAATAACTTAAATTTGCTGGATACTTGAAGGTTTTTGAGCTAATTAATGCACCTTTAACAGTATGTGAAAGCTCAAAAGGTCACTATCATTTTTGACTCTGTTAATGGACCATCCTCAATGTAATCTTGGGATCCCTGACTCAAAGAATGGTTATGGGTTCTTATAAAATTTATGTTATTTTTACTAAGTTTTCTTTTAAATATCAATAAACTTTGTACCATAATATAAATGGTTTCAAATGACATTTAAACAAGATTTGTATATTTCATCATTAAATATGTTTGTCCTCAACCATACCAACAAAAGTAATCTTTATTGATAAAAAGTGTTCTATATAAACAATTTGAAACAATTTTATTTTTTGTTAGCATCTATTATAAATATTTTGTTGGTTCAAAAAGTTGACAGAATGGCCTGCTCTACCCCATGGGCCCCATACAAACTCAACAGCCCTGCTACTATTCCATTAGAAGAAATGTAAAAGAACAAATTGACAAAGTTATGGATAACAAGCAGCAGACACAAGATTGAAAACATATGAAAGTTTCAAAGTATTTGATACAATATGATAATATAGATGATTCAAAAAAATATGTATATCTGTATAAAGCTAGACACCAACCAACTACCGAAATTCTATTCGAATTTCAGCAGTTGGTTGGTGTCTAGCTTTTATTATGTATCGGGTCTAGCAATGTTGTTTGTATATCTGTATAAATGAATAAAGGATGGTTTACAGTCTAATAGCAGTATGGTGCTGCAACAGCCAAGTTTTTTGAGTTTTACTAATTTTGCTGTCATTGGCTCTACTTAGACATTGAACTCTGGAGTTGTGTCATTAGACCAGCTTCAGTTTGATACTAATGAATGCTGTGTTGAGTTAGCTGCCGACTAGATTTTGACTAGAAACTGGATGATGATCTTGTCAGCTCCATAAATGGCTAGCAACCTTGAAACTCCACACTGCTGTTACACTATAAACCAGCCTTAAATATATGTTTTTACTATAAAATACATTCTATTAATAATAATGTACATAAAAACTTATTTACCCATGATTGAGTAATGCTCTTCTTTTTCTTCTCATTCCATTTAAATTCATTTTCTAGTTTTTCCTTTTTAATTAACTAAAAAATTGAAAATTCAATATAAAGTTATAAACATGCAAAAACTAAAATAATTGATAGAATTATTTTTTTTAACATATTTGTAAAAATATTACAACTAAATTCATATTAAATATTTCATTTTAAACCAAATTACAATTTTTTTTGTCCAAAAGGTATTGTATTTTTATGTGGATTACTTGCAGGTTATCTTTATTTGGAAGAGATGAAATGGGGTATGCATTGGGGTGCATTATATACCAAGTTTGTCTATAAGCATGGATGGGATATGTAAAAGTATTTTTTCATTCTAGCAGTTTTCTGCAGGATATATGCCATTGTGCAGTATATACACAAAAATACAGCATTGACGTTATACATAACCTGTCAGAATAAATGAACAAATCCATGGCAAAAGCTGCTGTAAAGTAAACAAATTAATCTCCAATGCTGTCCCTAGGTTTTTAAAATTCTTTAAAAGTCTGTAATGTAAAAAGAGTTTTTCATTTTTATCATGTCAGACTCACAATAAATGAATGAACAATAAGAGATGCAGCCTAAAATTCTATGGATCCTTAAAATTTTATGAAATTTGTCAATCTAGATTAGAATCAGCCTTTCAGACTAAAGCCACCACTTCTACACTTTTACAAACAGTTGAAGTTGTTATATTATAGACTAGTGGCAGTTATATTTTTATGAGAAATTTTCCATGCCAAGGAGAACTCAAACTAACAAAACTACAATACAAGTCATTAACTTTGTTTTACTGTACAAGCATAAAGAAGTTTCTGTTATGAGAATATGAATTGCATATTAATTAAACTAATGACTGTAAAATTATGTCTAAAATTACAATTTACATGACTATTCAGCTGATTGTTTCTATCTATAATTCTTTCAATGTTGATATCAATAGTGATAAATGAAATATAAATTTGTTCTCTAATATAACATATGGTACTATAGAACAAGTCAAATATCTTATGTAGATTCTTCATGCTTTTGTGATTGATGATCTGTCCATAAATGATGTCATGATTGGCTGTCCATAAATGATGTCATGAATCATGGAGGACATTTCAGGATGTGACATAATGTGATGAGGGGAGGCAGGATTGCCAGTACATTGGGGCATGTGCCCCCTTTGTTGTCAGGTTGCCTTAATCTCCAAGGGAGCTCTAAGGTTTCATTTTATTTTTAAATTAGTTACTCATTTTTATTACAGAAAACTTTTTTACTGATGAGAAAATTAAAATATTTGTTATTATATCATCATAACACATTTTCTAGCAGGTTATTATTGTTCAGTCGAGTACCAAGGTACCACTGTACATACATTATATATGTGTATGTATATATGTATATATATATATATATCCATCCTTGATTAACACAGTTAATTAATCCTTTGATCAAAATTGCATTAATCAAATACAATGTCCTATTTTAGAGCACATGTCACCCTTTGTTACAGTCTGTGGGTGTTGCTAAGAGGAGAAAATGAGCCTTGTGACATCACATTTACCATTAATCAGTATAATACATGCTTTTCTAATACAATATGCCATATTTAAAACATAATTTTTGTATAAGTAATAGATATGTATTATATCAATGTTGAGGTTTTTTTATATATTCTTTTGAATGTCAATTTTTTAAAAAAGTTATTTTTTCAAAAAAATTGATGAAACATCATAGGTTAGATCCAAAGAAGTTAAACGATGTTTTTTTGTCTGGATCGCATTTTATCAGAGACAAAAACTTCTGAGTGTTATCTTTGTTATTCTTTATTCACTATGCATTTCGAGTGCAATATTTTGTGTATCTTGCATCCCTCATCAGGTGTTATATTTCTGTTTTTTTGTGTTAGGAGATACAACATCAACACCGTGTAGCTGTATATCTAAACACAAAAAAACAGAAATATAACACCTGATGAGGGGGTGCAATATTTTGTGTATCTTGCACCCCTCATCAGGTGTTATATTTCTGTTTTTTTTGTGTTTAGATATACAGCTACACGGTGTTGATGTTGTATCTCCTAACACAAAAAAACAGAAATATAACACCTGATGAGGGGGTGCAATATTTTGTGTATCTTGCACCCCTCATCAGGTGTTATATTTCTGTTTTTTTTGTGTTTAGATATACAGCTACACGGTGTTGATGTTGTATCTCCTAACACAAAAAAACAGAAATATAACACCTGATGAGGGATGCAAGATACACAAAATATTGCACTCGAAATGCATAGTGAATAAAGAATAACGAAGATAACACTCAGAAGTTTTTGTCTCTGATAAAATGCGATCCAGACAAAAAACGTCAATTAACTTCTTTGGATTTAACTTATGATGTTTCATCAATTTTTTTGAAGTAATAATTTTTAAAAAAAATTGACATTCAAAAGAATAATTTTTGTACTTAAATTTATATAAGAATAAGAATACAAAAAGTAAATGTATGTCAGTTAGTTTACTATGGCTAGTAACACAATCCATTACAGCCATAGTACAGTGATTGGCAGGGGTGAATACTAACCAGAATTTTTGAGCATGCTGAAAGTTATAATAATAGGCCTATTTCTAGCACTGAACAATAGGAAGAAATGTTATTTGGTGTGAATAAAAAAGTATGGACTATTATAAAGCCCATTATATCTACACATGAAATATATTATAATGAAAATGTATTAAAAATTTATGATGATAATTCAATTTTTGTGTGCCCTTGACACTGGATGCCCAGGGCTTAAGCCCTATTAGTTCCTATGTAGATCCGCCCTGTACACAATACATGTATGCTGACTGGGTACTGCAAGCTTTCGATACAATCTGGCCGTGTTAAATGCTTTGAATGACATTGTGCGAATGCACTTGTTTGCTGTGACAAACCTCCACATGAGCAAGTGATCAAATTCCCACAAGCATCGCACTGACTTAAAACGGCTATCTTCTAGCTGCCAGTGTAAAAGGAAACACAAATGATAAAAGAGTTTACATGTTAGAATAAATTATTATTGACATATTTATTCTCATGTAAAAAGTATATTAACAGTCAAAATTTTCTCTTAAGCATGGTGGCACATGCTAAGCAAACTCAGAGAATTAGCTACTGGTGATTGGTAAAATTCTTGAGATTATAATAGAATGGGATTTACCTCATCACATTCTCACTATTCATATGTTACAAATAACTTCTCATTGCATGTTTTTGTGAGTAAGTTATAGATTATCTTATTTATATCTAAGATCTGTTGAGTTAAAGACAATTTTGTGTATACTGTACAGTATATAAAACTTCAATATCAGTCAGGGCACTACTGTATTTACAAGCAGGATTATTATGAGGGAGGAACTAGAGATTTTTACTGGGGTCCATGGCAGTTTCTATCCCTATAAATTAATGTCATTTTTACTAACAAAAACTAAAATTGTTTAAAACAGAATGTTTCTTTATTAGTAAAAAGCAATTTTTTATTTTTATTTTGAACAAACAAAATAACTATGGCTAAGGAGCTAAAGGACCCACTCTACCCTAGGCTATCAATGGCCCTGTTTACAAGTTAAGCATTTATTGATTGTGTGTAGACTTGTTAAAAATGTTTATTGAACATTTTGAAAAATTCAAAGTTTATTTTTAGAATATTACCATGGTAAAAGAAAATATAGAGAAGCAACACTTGATGTTTTTTAAATCTGTAGACTATAGCATCTCTCATACACTAAAGGGAAATGTTGAATTCCCAACTAAAGTGTTCCAAACAACTTTTTGGAAACTTTAGTTGGGAATATAATACAGATGATGATGAGTAGATAAATGTTGATGACAGGCATGACAGAACAAAGCATGGACACAAGTCTCCAACATTCCCACTGTGTTAATTGGAAAACATCTTACAAAACCATGATAGTGAAATAATTTGTTTAATTTTGCTATTATTATGTAGTGTTTTATTTTGATAAAAGTGTAAATAAATCATTTTCAGTTAATATCCATTATATAATTGATGCAGTGTATTTACATCTTAATAATGCAAAGGCTTTGGCAGAGGGAGATGATGACAATGAATGACATGGGAGAAGGAGGATTTAGTTTGAAATCATTTATGGATGGCCCTATGCTATTTTTCCTGAAGACAGCACATAGAACTCCTTCCCCTAGTAAACATGCAAGGGCCACTTATGGTACATATAACATCAGAAATGTTGCTTATATGTTCATCAAGAAGAGAGGGAATAAATCAGTGCCTTTGGTTAAATGGTGCTCGTACAGAGTGCACTTTGTGATTTAAAAGTGACTGCATAATAAAGTAAATTTCCTTGCTTACATATGAAGTATTTAGGTAGTAAACAATGTATTTAACACTTAACATATTCTATTTTTAATATCAATTTCATTGCTTATGTATTCTAATTGTAATTTTTTGAAAAAACCCACTTCAAACCATTTTACACCAGCAGTTTATTATTTTTCTCTGATTTTTTCATTATGTTAATGAGAAAAATAATAAAATGCTGGTGTAAAAAGGTTTTGAAAGTGTTAGAATATGCTACAGTTTAAAATTATTGCTAAGAATATAAAAAGTCAATGATGATTTATTAAATATACCTTGCTTGGAAGGAGACTTCTATGCAAACCTTTCCAGTCTTTTTTAAAGCACTTGAGATCTTTTACTTTAAATTTGATGTTGTCCTTATGAGCGTTTCCATTCTTTTCTAAATCAATGACTAGATTGTTATCATCATGCCTTTCTTCTTGACTCTCATCAGTACTGTCATAATTTTCTTGAGTTTCACTATTCATTCGTAATATTTTATCCGTTTGTATTCTCTCTTTCATTTTTAATTTTTCTTTCTTTGCACATGTTGCTGGTGGAGGTAACGAAAATTTTTTTCCTTGATTTCCTCTCATGTAACGCTCAAATGGTAGCAATAGTCTAAAATATTTTTTTATTATTAGTTTATTCTACTAAAATTGCTTCTATACACGTAATGCAATGAAGAAATGTTACCTCTCATAATGACGTCTTGTACAAGTTGCTGCACTAGTGCTTCCTGGATTTCCACCCAATTCATCATAAACATGCTTCCATAATTTTTTATAGGTAATCTGCAAAGAAAATAAGCTCTCAAATACAATTTTCAAAATGTCTTTTTTTTTTTGTTTTTAAAAAAATTAGAACATTATTGATAAATGTATACAGAGTGGTTCAGTACTGAATAGGGTACTTTTTTGAATACATCAAGGGAGTGATAAAATAAATGCTTTGCATGTAAACTAGTATATATTATTTTATTACTTTTATAGCTGTTTCAAATATAAGTGGCTTTCTTCAAATGTGTTATCTTAACTTAATCACAAAAACTGTACATCACATTATGACACAGTTTCAGCTTCAATTGCATGCTTTAACTTCTGGACTAGGCTGCAGATAATTTTGTTGCCTAAGAATGTTACCTGTGCACTTAAATTTTTTTTACATTTGAAGGTTAAATTATTATTGATATGCCAAAATAAATATAGTATACTATATAAAATATATCTAAAGTAATGATATATACTGCTGGCCAAGTAAAATGCAACACCATTTAGGACTCTATATATTGCAGGTGTTGCATTTTACTTGGCCAGCAGTATATTTTGACACCCCCTTTCAATTTTATGCCTGAGGCAATGCTGCTTTGGCTATTGGAGCAACTTTGCTTTGGACAATCTGTATCTTGTAAATAGAACTTTGATATCATCAAACTCTATATATTCCTATGATATGAGATTGTTGGTAAGCTAAGCAATGTGGATTATTCTCAAAAGATTCCATTACTATCTGAACATACCATGTATATACATTGGTTACATTATTAATATCTTCATATATTTGCACAAAAACTCATTTTATTGTAGAATCAAATCATGTTTGAATGAAGAACGTTGTATTTTCTCTACATTACACTTCATCTTTGCATTGTAACTGGATGAATTTTAAAATATCATCAAATTCTCTATGATTTAATCTGTAACAATACTTCCTATCCTACATACTGATGTACTTCATAATGCAAGACAGCATTCTGAAGTACATCAGTTGACTCTGCACCATTCTGTATTATATACAGTATTTCAGTATTAACAGGTGACTGAGATGTGTTTTAATGTAATAAATATTTAAAAAATTTTACCTTTTCATAACCACCCAGCTTCTGTGCATACATATAGAAGAAATAGAGATCAACTGTAAAGATAAAATGTTTTAATTTTAGAAATAATTGAAACAAAACCTTAAAAATTAAATTTTGATAATATTTAGGTTTTCTTTATAAAGGTATCCCCAGCTGAATGTTGGTAGTATGGTGCTGCAACAGCCAAGTTTTTTGAGTTTTACTAATTTTGCTGTCATTGGCTCTACTTAGACATTGAACTCTGGAGTTGTGTCATTAGACCAGCTTCAGTTTGATACTAATGAATGCTGTGTTGAGTTAGCTGCCGACTAGATTTTGAATAGAAACTGGATGATGATCTTGTCAGCTCCATAAATGGCTAGCAACCTTGAAACTCCACACTGCTGTTACACTATAAACCAGCCTTAAATATATGTTTTTACTATAAAATACATTCTATTAATAATAATGTACATAAAAACTTATTTACCCATGATTGAGTAATGCTCTTCTTTTTCTTCTCATTCCATTTAAATTCATTTTCTAGTTTTTCCTTTTTAATTAACTAAAAAATTGAAAATTCAATATAAAGTTATAAACATGCAAAAACTAAAATAATTGATAGAATTATTTTTTTAACATATTTGTAAAAATATTACAACTAAATTCATATTAAATATTTCATTTTAAACCAAATTACAATTTTTTTTGTCCAAAAGGTATTGTATTTTTATGTGGATTACTTGCAGGTTATCTTTATTTGGAAGAGATGAAATGGGGTATGCATTGGGGTGCATTATATACCAAGTTTGTCTATAAGCATGGATGGGATATGTAAAAGTATTTTTTCATTCTAGCAGTTTTCTGCAGGATATATGCCATTGTGCAGTATATACACAAAAATACAGCATTGACGTTATACATAACCTGTCAGAATAAATGAACAAATCCATGGCAAAAGCTGCTGTAAAGTAAACAAATTAATCTCCAATGCTGTCCCTAGGTTTTTAAAATTCTTTAAAAGTCTGTAATGTAAAAAGAGTTTTTCATTTTTATCATGTCAGACTCACAATAAATGAATGAACAATAAGAGATGCAGCCTAAAATTCTATGGATCCTTAAAATTTTATGAAATTTGTCAATCTAGATTAGAATCAGCCTTTCAGACTAAAGCCACCACTTCTACACTTTTACAAACAGTTGAAGTTGTTATATTATAGACTAGTGGCAGTTATATTTTTATGAGAAATTTTCCATGCCAAGGAGAACTCAAACTAACAAAACTACAATACAAGTCATTAACTTTGTTTTACTGTACAAGCATAAAGAAGTTTCTGTTATGAGAATATGAATTGCATATTAATTAAACTAATGACTGTAAAATTATGTCTAAAATTACAATTTACATGACTATTCAGCTGATTGTTTCTATCTATAATTCTTTCAATGTTGATATCAATAGTGATAAATGAAATATAAATTTGTTCTCTAATATAACATATGGTACTATAGAACAAGTCAAATATCTTATGTAGATTCTTCATGCTTTTGTGATTGATGATCTGTCCATAAATGATGTCATGATTGGCTGTCCATAAATGATGTCATGAATCATGGAGGACATTTCAGGATGTGACATAATGTGATGAGGGGAGGCAGGATTGCCAGTACATTGGGGCATGTGCCCCCTTTGTTGTCAGGTTGCCTTAATCTCCAAGGGAGCTCTAAGGTTTCATTTTATTTTTAAATTAGTTACTCATTTTTATTACAGAAAACTTTTTTACTGATGAGAAAATTAAAATATTTGTTATTATATCATCATAACACATTTTCTAGCAGGTTATTATTGTTCAGTCGAGTACCAAGGTACCACTGTACATACATTATATATGTGTATGTATATATGTATATATATATATATATCCATCCTTGATTAACACAGTTAATTAATTCTTTGATCAAAATTGCATTAATCAAATACAATGCCCTATTTTATAGCACATGCCACCCTTTGTTACAGTCTGTGGGTGTTGCTGAGAGGAAACAATGAGCCTTATGATATCACATTTCACATTTACCATTAATCAGTATCATACATGCTTTTCTAATACAATATGCCATATTTAAAACATAATTTTTGTATAAGTAATAGATATGTATTATATCAATGGTGCAGTTTTTTTATATATTCTTTTGAATGTCAATTTTTTTAAAAAATTATTTCTTCAAAAAAATTGATGAAACATCATAGGTTAGATCC